AGCGTTGAATTCCCATGGCCCTGAAGAGTGCTGGCTGAATAACAGGTGTTCCACAAACGTTTGCTGAATGACTGAGTGAGCATAAAGACTTACGGAAATGAAAAGGGTAAAGCAAACATAGTAATTACTTGTATCACTTTCCTCCTTTTGTACTTGTGTTGGCTGATAATGGTGAAGGCTTACTACGGAACTTGCTATATGCTTAGCAGAAAGGAGGCAGGTAAGAGAGAGGACAGACATTGCCCTATTGTCAGCGAAATCCTCTCTGTTCTTTATCATATGACTCTGAAACTATACTAGGAAGTGCACTCACAAGGGGGCTGCTGGGACAGACCTCATCCATCTGTCTCTCTCAGGCTGATGTGATTGTGTGGTTCCCTCATGTTCTCCAGACACTGTGAGGTTCTGCACCCCACCCCCCAACATGGCATGGCAGCCAAGACAGCAGGGCAGAAAGATGGGGGAGCTCAGCTGAAGGGCCGTGAGAGGCCCCATATCCAACCGCGGGGAGTGGGGGGAGGTGGGAAACCCTGACTTCGCTGAAATGATTCACTCAGGAGGACTGAGTGCGTTGCTTCCATTACCAAGGTTACTGGAAAAGCAAGTTCACATCTCATTTTACTAATAAGCACTCTACTTAAGAAACCCAGGGTTTAGTTTCAATAATATGGACAAAAAAACGGAGTAGAAAACCATTGCCTTCTGCTTGAAAACTAGAAAAACTCCTCTGAAGAGATGCAGGTTTATCCTTTAATCAGAAGGAGAGAGAACCCCCCCTGGCTGATGCCCCAGGTGGGGGAAACGGGAAGAGAGAGGGATGGGGGCATTAGCCTTGGGAATGCCCATTTCTACGGAGTCGGGAAGGACAGCCATTCACCCTAAAGAAGAGGTGGGAAAGCACCGTTTCCTGTTCTGTTCCTTTAGGATCTGTAACAGTAACTTAAAGATTTTTATGTTTTTGTTTGCTTGTTTTTTATGCGGGAAAGACAGGTATTTTAAATGACGTGCTAAAGGTAATCAGAGCTATTTTTAAGAACACGGTTTCTGCAAAGCGAGGTTGCCATGGAGTCACTTAGGGTTGTTCAAAGCCAGGGTAATGACTGAGAGAAAATCCTGCCTGGCAGGTGCTTTCACATTTCCTCGTTTCCTGCATTGCTTACTCAAAAACATCCCCACCTTTTGTTGTCAGTTTTTTTTTTTTCTTAATCCCTTTACTTATGATCTTCATGTTCCTGGGCACTCAGTGTTTTCCTTAGCAAGAGGAAAATGATTCCCTCTAGTGTAGCGGGAGTCAGGAGTTTCTCCTTACAGGTAATCATTAAGGGAAATGTTTTATTTTAGTGTTCCTCTTTTTCATGTCATGGGAATCATGGATAAGCCAGCCGCTCATTTACTTTTTATTTCTTACTACTCTGAGGAAAAACAGCCTCAACTTGTGTTGGACGGTGCTGGGGGAGTTTCTTCACATCGAGTGAGAAACCTTGCCATTCACTTGACACGGCCTGGCATTTCCAAAGGCAGCTGGAGCTGTCACAGAAATTTCCAAGTGCTCGCTGAAAAATATTTTATCAGAGGAGCTAAGAGACGTATGGTCTCTGTTCAGGATTTTTGTCGTGTGTTTCTGTAATTTTACATTGCTTTAGGGGTTCTTAATAAAAATACAAAAGGCTTGGCATATTTAGAAATACAAAATACCAGACTGCTCCCTCTTCGATTTCTGTATCCTCATGCTGAAAGTCATTAAGTGGCCTTCTCTGTTTTGGGTGTTCCTGGCTGATGATGGCCCTCAACAAAGACAAGTTCCAAGTGTTTATGAAGAATGCCAGGGGCTGATGGCAGCTGAAGCTGGGAACTTGAAAGGAGTGAAGGTGACTTTCTCAGAGGCATGAATAAAGCCAAAGCTTTAAGAAGGAATGGTAGCATATAACAAATCTTGCTGCTGCCACGCCAGGGTAGCGGCTCCTGAGATGAAGGGAAATATGTTCTCTTCATCCCACCTTCCCAAGTGAAGCATGGACCCAGAGAATGAAGCTCACAAGGGGCTAAATAACATTAGCCCAACTGTAGGGTTACCTATAAGTGGGCCAACAGGCTTGCATGGGATGACGGATAACCTAACCATCACTGATAATTTTCCTCATATAAGATCACATATGGTGTGCTGGAATCAGCCAACCTTATAGTTTGGGGACTGCCTGCAGTCTTCAGAAAATTCTAGTCTCTTTTAAGATGCCAAGTGACTTGGATACCACCGAGGAGCAGTGTCTTTGCTAGTTCGTTAGATTTTAGGAGATTATAAGAAAGGCTCAATTGTAAGATTACAGAATAAAACTATAATTGTTATCTTCCTTTCGGTTAGTTAAAAAGAACTGTCAAATGAGAAGGTAGAAAGAAGCCACAAAAATATAAGGACATTAAGGAAATCAGAAATGGCATTTGAAGTTCTCTGACTGTGACCCAACACAGGGATCGCTGGCAGAGGGATGGCACCCAGAGGGGTGCACAGAATGTGCCCAATTCTCCTCAGACCACCCTCCAACCACCCCCACACCTGCCAAGAACCTCTTTATTTTCTTCCTCACCAATTTCAAAATGCTCTGTTCAGGAAGTGTGAGAAAAATCACGTTTGCTTTCAGAAAATAAATTTTCTGAAATGTTCATGGGCTAATTTCAATTTTGTGTTTTCAGTGGGATAATGTGCTTAGTGATTTGAAAGAGCATGTGGTGGATTTGTGCCCACTTTGGGGCATAACTGCTACCAGCTCTTGGCACTCTTCCTGGAGATAGCTGGTCAGAACCACAGCCCAGGCTGGGGGTTCATTCCACACCTCTGGCTTAAAGTCTGCTTCGGAAATAAATTTTAAAAATAAACAATCTGTGTTCTAGTATGTAAAATGCAATTTCAGGCTGACTGGCTAAAACCAGGCCATTTTCCTCCCACTTGATTATCCACCGACACATGCACTTTCACATCTATGCCCTGTGCACAGTATTGAATGAAACATAACTGCAGACAAGAAACATGACAAATTTAATAATATTTTTTTAAAAAACAGTTAAAGTCTTTAAGGAGGGTTAAGGATATTGTGTTCATGTGCAGGCATTTTGTGATTTTCCACTCAAAATTTAAAAGCAAAGGAAGCTCTCAGATGAGATCAATTTAATGGCTTGGAAGATCAAGTAGAACAATTATTTCAAAGCACAGAAGAAAAACAGAGAGATGGCACTCATAAAGGAAAAGGTAAGAGAAAAAAAGGAGCAGATGGAAAAGTAATCATTGAACAAATAATCAATGAAAATTTCCCTGACAATATCTCAGTCTGCAAACTGAAAAGACTCCCCAGTTAGGGTAGTTCTGATGAGAAAAGACATACAAAGTAAATCCTGGTAAGGTTTCTGAACTCTCAGGATATGTAGAAAGTTTTAAAAGCTTCCTCAAACCAGAAAACCTACCAACCAACCAACCACCAAAGAAAAGATTACATTCAAATGAAAAAAAAAAATGATATTGGCATCAGACTTGTCCTCTGCAATGTTGGAGAAGAGAGAGAAATAACATCTGTAAGTGACTGAAATAAATAAATAAATGGAAACCCTCGAACAAGAAGAGACATGCTACAAGGAAATCATAGTCATCATAGCTGAGAACAAAATCACGGAACTGCAGCAGAGGACCAGTTGCTGGGGAGAGGGAAAGGGGAGACATGGGGGAGGGGGTGGGAGAAAAGAAGCAGAGGAGGAAGGCACGGGTAGGGAGAAAGGCTAATCCTTGTGGGGTGGGGGGAACAGAGAATCTTGAAGGATGAAGGAGCTGGTATTTTATTTTCCCATGATAATACAGAAATATGTATTTGATCATAAGCGACAGAAAAAGGGCAGGCACAATTCAAAGGAATAAAAAAGTAAACTAGGACTTCCAAAGTAAAACACCTGCAAGTGAATTAGATGCTTTTGTGAACTCGAATGTTCAAGATCTTTTACAAATTCTGTTACTGATCTTTTATTTTCTTTCTTTTCTTTTTCTTTTTCTTTCTTTTTTTTTAGAGAGGGAGAGAGAGAGTGAGTGGGCGGGAGCGGCAGAGGGAGAGGGAGAGAGAAAATCTTAAGCAGGCTCCATGCCCAGTGCGAAGCCCGATGTGGGGCTCCATCTCACAACCCTGAGATCATGACCTGAGCTGAAACCAAGAGTCAGACGCTTCACCCACTGAGTCACCCGGGCACCCCAATCTTTCATTTTCTAACTGTGGAATCTAAGGGAAAAAATTCCCTATCTACTTTTCAATAATAAACAGATAAATCACAACATGCACAGTGATAATTCCTGCCACATACTAAGCACGTGGTAGCTATTTTGACTGATTTTAGAGAAACTTCCTCTGGTTTTTCTCCCTGGTGTAATAACTGGAATAAACAGGGTCTCTTGCAACAGGCAGCACACCATACAAACAGCATACATAGCATACTGTTAAACCTGGGCTGACTGTTAGCAATCAGAGTCTTCTGCATGTGAGGAAATGCGGGGCTGGGGAGGCTCTCTACCTTTCAAAGTCACAGGGCTGCTATCTGGCATGGTACAAAAGCTGACATGGACAAATGCAAAATTTAAAATCCATAAATTTACAAATGTTAGGTTTAATGATTTCTTCTACAAACAAAATTATTTTCTTCATTATTCTCCTGAGACATTAGATTTCAGGACCCCACATACGCCGGCAGTTATGTAGTTTTTCTCTCTGACATATGTGCTTAAGAAAACTTCGGTAATTTGAAGCAGTGAGTCTTAATTTTTCTTAATTTAAATTTTGTTAGTTAACATTTAGTGCAGTGTTGGTTTCTGGAGCAGAATTCAGTGATTCACCACTTCCTTACAACACCCAGTGCTCACCACAACATCCCCCATCTGGCTGCATCCCCCATCTGGCCCATCCCCCATCTGGCCCATCCCCCTCCCACCTCCCTCCGTCAGCCCTCAGTTCGTTCTCTGTCCTTAGGATTCTTACTTTTTGGTCGATGTATTTGTTGTCTTCAATTGCAGACCGTTTGGAGTGATCACACGATGAGGAAGAGGTGGACGGAAGGCTTCGTAAGAGGCAGCAGGTGTCCTGTTGCTGGCGATCGATAAACTGCTTCATGAAACTTTCCCTTTGCAAATGAAGTACACACACACATCAAGCATTGTTAATGAAATGAAGCAAGTGATGGCATTTTACAATGATGCGTTTGCCTGAACTCAGATAAAGGGGACAGATGTTCATAGAAAATAAGACACATCGTGCTAAGAGTGGTGTTTAGATTTAATTGGCAAAATAATTAATTTAGAGAAAGCTTTCTGAATTTTCAGTAGTTTTCTTTAAAAAAAAAAAAGTAATGTCCCTGAAATAACTTTTAAGCAATAATATTCAGTCATTGATGGTATTTTGTTGAATCCCATTGTGGTAATACTTTTTTATCCCCTCTAAGATTTGGAAGAATTAGTTCATCTCCCTGACTTCTACTCTTCATAAGAATCTTCGAGAGATAATTTTACATTGAAAGACTCAAAATAACTCAGAAGAAACTTGCTTCATCTGATCTTCAAAGCCTGGTGAGAATTCAAATAACATCTTTTCAAATAACCACTAATCTTGAATCTAATTTGTGGCTCTTTTATACTTCCTATTTTCAAGTTAAATTTTTTTTTAAATCAGAAATGCAAATATATTTCCATTTGAATTTTAAATATTATGGCACCATAACCAGTCTCATATTTTTACAACCCCCCCTCCCACAGAATTGTCTTTAGAACTAGTTACATAAAAATGTCATATTTTGGGACACCTGGGGGGCTGAGTTGGTTAAGCAGCTGACTCTTGATTTCGGCTCAGGTCATGATCTCAGGATGGTGGAATTGAGCCCTGCATTGGGCTCCACACTCAGCACAGAGTCTGCTTGAGATTCTCTCTCTTCTTTTCCCTCTACCCCTCCCCGCACGTGCATGCACACTCTCTCTCTCTCAAATGAATAAATAAATAAAATCTTGGAAAAAATGTCATATTTCCATTATGCTAAGTGAAGTAAGCCATTCACAAAAAGACAAGTGGTATATGATTCCACTTACGTGAGGTACCTAGAATAGTCAAATTCATAGAGACAGAAAGTAGAACCAGGGGTTAACAGTATAGGGAACGGAGCATTATTCTTTAATGTGTATAGATTTTTGGTCTTGCAATAGAAAGAAAAGGGTCTGGATGTTGGTTGCATAAGAACATGAATGTACTCAACTATACCCTTAAAAATGGTTAAGATGGTAAATTTAATGCTATGTGGATTTTTGCACAAATTAAAATTAAGTGGACATGCAATACTGAAAAAAATTAAAAAGTAAAAAATGTCATATTTCAACTATTTTGGTTCTATTTGTAATTTTTGAATTACAAGTTAAATAATATCCTTTAATTATCAAAAATAAGTGTTTTAAAGTATCTTTTATGCAAATGCTTCACTGAAGGGCAAAGTGGTAGAAAATCAAATTAGTGTAAGTGGGAAATGCCATGTTTTTTCCTTTAAAAATGGAAGACAAGGAGCCATTAGAGCTTGAGGTGAGAGTGTTGGGCAAGCCATGTCACCAGGGTTTTCCTTCTAAGGTTGTATCCATGCTAAATTAAGAACACGTTAAGGATGAGATGGAACAAGGTGCTATTCTCTCCCGTAATAGTTATGTTGTTTATGATGCATAAAGAAGCAATGACAACAGACTTCACATGCTTTTAAGCAGTCTTTATAATGCAATACTTGTTGTTTGTCTAAGATGCATTAAAAAATTTTTTAAAGATTTTTATTTATTTATTTATTTATTTGAGATAGAGTGAGAGTGAGAGAGAGAGAGCACAAGCAAGGGGAGCGGCAGAGGGAGAAGCAGGCTCTCCGCTGAGCAGGGAGCCCGATGCGGGGCTCGATCCCAAGACCCTGGGATCATGACCTGAGCCGAAGGCAGACGATTAGCCAGCTGAGCCATTCAGGCGCCCCTGCATTAAAGAATTTTTAAACTTGAAAAAAAAAAAAGTGGAAGGCAAATTATATCGTAATCAGACATGACATTCTAAATGAATGCTGTTACAGTAGTACAGAACCTGGCTGGTGGCATTTCTCTATTTACTTGAGAATAAAAGGCCATAAGAGGCAAGTTTATCCTTACATGGTTGAAGGTCAGAGGTTGGGGTCTACCTGTAACCTTGAGCACCTGTGCCAGTTACCTGGGGAGTGGAATCCTGGAGGGGCATCTCAGGGAGAAGCAGGAGGGAGCAGCCTTCTTGTCTTGGCAAATGACCGTTCTGAATATATTGCTTAAAGGGGTCAATAGAAATAACTTAAAAATAGAAAAAAAATACCCTCTTTCAAACATGAATTTGAAAAAAGGGCTGAATCAGATTTAAGATAAATCCTTGACAGCGTATGGGGCATATACAACAAAATAAATACATTAATACCTGATTTTAGGAACTGTAAAGTCTGAAGGAAGCTTTGAGATTTTCACCATTTGCGGTCTGTTTGGAAATTTTTCGAAGATTCGAAGTCGCAAAGGGAGCTTTTCTTTGGTGTCCGCATTCGCTTCACTTTGCTTTAACTAAAGAAAAAATAGAAAGAAGGAAAGGGGGGATCTTATCGTATTCTCAAGTCACAGACTGCCAGCTTTTTTGCATCAGGGGAACAATGAGTTGGTGCATGATGGACGGTAGATGGCAGCAAAGCCCCATTCAGTGCCCTTTCTCACCCACCACCTACCGGCACGGTGTGCAGTCCAACTTTAACCGCCCGGAAAACAAAACCCAAACTGACTGAACCAAGCAAAAAACGAAACCAAAAAAATAATTAGAAGAAAAAAAATTAGGTTCTTTTATTCCTAAATATAAACCCCCTTTCACACCAAACATTATTTTTATTGTTTACTTATCTCTAGCATATACAATAATATAATAAAATATGTTTTATACACATGTCTGCTGGAATAGGAAACCAAAAGAATAAAAATAAATGAAACTCCTAAGTTTCCTAAATGGTAATATTTGTAACTAGCGAAAATGTCAAGAAAACAGGTCATTTATTCTAGCATATTCAAAAAGAAAAGCTCAAAATGGAAACAACACATTTGGTACCTACAGGGAGCCTTCTTTATTTTGTTGTAAAGATGCTTGGGAATTATTACGTTATATGCCATAAAGTATCTTTGCAAGAAATGACAAGCAAACAGTATTCATCATCTATCTATCATCTATCCATCTACAAGATGGTTTTTATATTTTTCATATATATTTTGTATTTCTACAAATTAGAGTTCAGGGAGCCTGAGACTTGACATCACTAACTGGAGCCAGTGCTGAGCTAAGGAGCCGCCACAAGGATGGATTTGGCCTGTGGAACCCTGGCCTGAAAAATGAAAGAGGGTGCTTCTACCCCTTTTCACTGCACCTTCTTCCTCCTCCAAGGCTGACTTCTCTTGCTGACCTCCCTTACTTCTCTTTACTACTCCCTTCTCTCAGAGCTCTCTATAGACAAGGCTAACCTCTCCATCCCCACCCATCTCCTGTTCTGCCCTCCAGCCTGCCTCTCGGAGCACTGAACCTGTTCAAAGAGTCCAATCACATTCAGGCAACCTTTCTGGTGGTGTTCGGGAAGCATGTTTCAAACACCATCAGCTTCTCATCCCTTGCTGGGTACACTTTTACTTTATAATTACAACCTGTCTCTGGTTTGTGGAAAGAGGAGCAGGGGAGGCTGAGAACGTTTTTATAACTTTTATATCGGGAAGAAAGGTGGCAATTCTTCTCTCCTCACCAAGTGGAGGTATCCAAACTGGCCAGAGAGAACATGAGCGCTGCGTTTGGGGGAACATCCAATTTCAATACAATATATAGCTCAGTTGTCTAATTGGTTGTGAGCTCATAGTGAGATTATAGTCTCAGTTCTAGTTCAGAAGACGTGCCTCATTTCTCATCAACTTCAGAAACTGTTCTTACACTTTTGTTTTATATAATAGAGATATTTTGCCATAGCCAATGTATGTCTTATTTAATTTGGGGGCTTGTCTGTGGATTTCTGACTTAGGTGGTGACCTCACTTAGAGAAGGCGAGACTTGTTCGTTGCCTTCCCCTCTCCCCAAATGGAACACAACACAGTATGCTCCCAATCATTTGATGGCTATGATGGTGAGAGTGATGAAGAATTAGTTCCCAAAGGGGCAAAACATACAGCGCTAGCATTCCCATGAGATAGAGGCAATTAAAAAAATGGCTTCAGGGGAGCCTGGGTGGCTGTCGGTTGGTTGTCTGACTCTTGGTTTCGGCTCAGGTCATGGTCTCAGGGTCGTGAGATCAAGCCCCGCATCGGACTCTGCGCTTGGCAGGGAGTCTGCTTGGGATTCTCTCTTTCCCTCTCCCTCTGCTCCTCCCCAGCGCGCATGCTCTCCCTCTCTCCCTTTCTCTCAAATAAATAAATAAATCTTAAAACAAAAGAAAAAATGGCTTCATATATAAAAAAAAGAAATTCATGATGAAGAGACTCATTTTCCAAAAATTTATTGGCATAACTGGTAGAAAGATATTTGTCAGTGGTAAGGCGAGCACACAGGAAAAAGAAAAAGCAGTTAATATGTTAAGTCAGACCAGAGAGAAAGGCAATTATATAAGGCCAAAGACAGGCCGAGAAGACAGAGCAGAAATGAGGTATTTAATTCATGCCTTTGCTGACTCATTTATTTATATATCGGTGCAGTCACTTATAAATCAAATCCCAGAGGCCAGGTTCCCTGTGAAGTTCTGGGGATATAAAAATAACTAAGACACAGTATTTGCTCTCATGGAGCCCACGTTGTAAGGAATAGATGGGTCTATAAACAGGTAATGACAAATATAATAGCTATTCCAGCTGAGGTACAAACAAAGTGCTAGGAGCTCAAGGTGAGGAGCAAATGGAGAGAGAGAGAGAAAAAAAAGATGGTGCTACTTTTATTTCCAGAGGCTTCTCCCAGTATTCTGGAGGCTGGAAGCCCTAAATCAAGTTGTCAGCAGCGCTGAGCTCCTCTAAGTCTCTAAGAAAGAGTCCCTCCTTGACTCAGCTTCTTGGCCATCCTGGTGTTCCTTGAGCCATTAGCTGTATCACTCCATTACCTGCCTCTGAAATCACAAGGCCTTCTTCCCTGTGTGTTTCTGGGTCTATCTGAGTCTCCTTTTCTTTTCTCGGACAAAGATACCAGTCATTTAAATTAGGGCCCGCCCTAAAGCAATATGATCTTAACTGATCATGTCTGCAAAAATCTAATCTCCAAATAAGGTCCCATTCTGAGGTTCCAGGTGGACATGAATTTTGGGGGCACACTATTAAATCCACTACATAGAGTAGTTGAAATTCCAGCATGTGGTGACTTGGACACTGTTTCTCTTTACCCGGAGACTGTCAGTGCTAGGACGACAAGGACCTTAGGACAAGGATCCTTGCAGGGGGTGGGTGTGTTTCATTATTCACATTCAGGGCCGGCTACAATATTTGACACAAAGTAAGTTAAACAAACATATGTTGAATGAATAATATGCAATCATTGGCAGAACTAAACTCTCTAGCAGATAACTTGCAAATGAAAGAAAGGATTTTAGGTTTATCTGGAAGGGTAGAGAGATAAGCAGAAAGTATCCATTTGCTGATCAAATACATTTGTTGGTGTGGGGTATAAGTGTCCCTGGATTCACAGGAGAGAATAAAATTAGACTCTGTGGCATTTCACCTGAGCTTACATCTACCATTGGTGAACTGATAAATGTTTAGAATAAGTTTAGACATAAAATTTTGTAGTATTTACTCAAATATCCTAGAATATGATGTTTAACATAAGTAGGTCACCAGTATTAAAACATAGTCCCCTTGCCTATATGTTTTTAACATGGAACTCATCTCATTCTACTTGGTGTTAGAGTTATTTATACCTTCCCAAACTTGTAAACTACTCAGGGAGAGGATTCTCTTTTTAATTTACTTCTTTAAAAAAAAAAAAAAGATTTTATTTATTTATTTGACAGAGAGAGCGAGAGCACGCACAAGCAGGGGGAGTGGGAGAGGGAGAAGCAGGCTCCCTGCTTGACCCCATGACCGAGATCATGACGTGATCTGAAGGCAGACGCTTAACCAACTAAGCCATCCAGGTGCCCCTGTTTTTAATTTATGTCTATGGTACTTTCTAGAGAGTAGAAATATAATAACCATTTGTGAATAAATGAGTTAGAATTCATCATGAATTGATCATGGAACTGTAAGACCACAAACAGCAAAGGAGAAGCTCTTTTTGATGACACAGAAGGTTCTTCAGGATCCTGCAAATCCTCTCAAATGTCAGGCGTCATGGCTCCACAGATGTGCAAATAGGCCCATTAAACCAGACAAGGATGGGTGGATGCATGGATGGCAGATATATCAGGTCTCACTGCAGAGGCACTGGCTAGAATCTTCTACAAACAGGAAGGGGCCTCTTTGGGAACAGTAGTGGCCAAGTGCTATTTCTGCTGTTCACAGTTAAGCAGCATCATCTAGAGATGAACACACACACAGCCAGTAGTCCAACAAATCCTCTCCTAGGTGCACAGCTCCCAGAAACATGCCCACACGCACACCACAGCCTCGCCAGGCCACGGCCGTGCCAAATCATACACATCTCAAATGCCCATTGTGGCATATTCATGAATCTGAGTCAATAAACTACACCCAAGCACAAAGACTTGGGTGAATTTTACAAACTAATGTTGAATGAACGAGTGCTGGCAAAGCAAACAAGGACTTCCTGAATGATGCCATTTATAGAAAGTTAAAAAGCAGGCGACACTACTCTATCCTGCTTAGAGTCTGGAGAGTGGTTATCCTGGGGTGGGGTGAAGCGTCGTGGCTACGAGGCCATGTGGCGCGGGGCTCCTAAGAGACAGTTGACCTTGATCTGGGTGCTGGGTGTGTTCAGATGGTAAAAGTTCAGCAAAATGCCTTTATCTATATGGATAACAGAACCCAGTAAAAAGTTAAAAAGAAAAAAGAAGGGCTGATGGAGTGGAGCAAAATCATCTAAATCTCAGTCCACTGCTATGAATCACCATAACTTGGACCATTTCTCCTTCCCTAGTCCATGATCTTGGCCAAGATACAAAATGAGAAAAAAAAGGCCAAAGAGCAAGATGGGACTGGCGTGTGTGTGGAGGGTGCGGGGTGGGATGAAGATGAGGCAGCCAGGGTAGAGAAAAGTACTGCCTAGTCCTTGGAAGCCACTGTCAAGTTTCTTAATACATGATAAACCCTTTTATCCAAATTCTTCCCCCTTCTTGCATTTAAGCACAGATTTCTCCAAGATTAAATGTACTTTGAGGCTAATGAGTGAGTAGCATGGATTACGTTGAATATACAGGATAATAATTTAAGATCAGTATACCATACCACAAAAGAAGACCTTCTAACGGATAGTAATTGTAATTGTAAATGTTCACTTAAAAATCATTTCAAAGATCATAACCCTTGAATGGAAGGAACGTAGTATAGTGAACCCAAGATTTTAGTCTTTATGTTGAAAAAGCTAATGTAAAGACCAGCACAAAGGAAGG